TATAGATATGTAATTACATTAAATAATGTGAATGATGCAGGGCATAGAACTGAGACTGTATATCACTATGCTAAGATATGATTATTAGAAATTTTTCAGCTCAAGACATATGTTTCATTGATACTGGATTTTATTAAATTTACACATTTTTAGACATATGTAAGAATTGGTGAACGAAAATTACACTTGCTTTTCGAGCAATATGAGATAATGCAAAAAAATTATCCTTCAATCTTTCTTCGCTTATTTTTCGGCATTATTGTTTTGTTCAATTGTAGTTATATGCATTTAAAACAGATGTATTAATCCCGTATTGGGGTAAACATTAAAACATATTAAAATGTTGTCGATATGGCGTTGTTTGTATTTAACTTCTGATTACTTTTAACCGCAATATGGGAAGTTCTAAACGAACATACTAAGTCACGGCACACAATTTAAGTTAGTGAATCCTCCAACATCAACTTGCTGTACATAAATAATGATGTTTCCACGCTGATATATATATATATATATATATATATATATACATATATATTGAAAATGAAGAGTTATACACGCTCTGTAACGCGTAGAGCATATGTCTAGAATCTAATAGAAATTTCTGCACTGTTTGCTCCGTATCCTCGAAACGGCTAGACCTGCCTTCACCATAAACTAATCAACACGCCTCCTTATCAATACGAATCGGATGTTTTCTGAATTATTCAAATCGGTTAATCGATGTTCCCGAAATCTTCGACGAAAATTTGTATCCGCACACGCACACACACACATACAACCATACATTCATTTTTACTAATTTTAAGGTATGCCAAAATATTCAGAAAACTTTGAATCGTAAAGATATCTAAAAGTTTTCATTTTCGATTTTTTGATATTATTATAACTTATCCTGCGGGAAGTTAATAATAAAAAATCAACTATTTTGGTTCATTAGTAAAATTGATTTATTCAGTGTAAATTTTGTATATAAGCTCTAAAATGGGGCATATTAGTGCAGAACCCTGAGTTGTGTAATAGACAATATTTTTAATTTTCTGAATAAAACACCGAAGTTGCACTTGACAGTTAAAAATCATATGATTGATATAAAAAAGTTATAAGTGTTTGAAATGCATACTTAAACGGACCATAAAGACTAGAAACAAATATATATATATATATATATATAAATGAAAAATATTCTATATTGTTTTCGATTTCAATATTAAATAGATTTCAATATAAAATTGGCAATTAAACTTTTTTCAAAATATTCTGATTATTTTGACAAAAAATACGTGTGCCGAAGCGTGTGTGCATGTGTTCAGAATTTGTGCACTCAAAAACATTTTTTCGTTCATACTTTCCAAGAGAATGGATAAATTCGAATTTGGAATTGATTTTTTAGAAAAGCAAGTTTAGTGGTTTCGGTGATACGAAGGAAAAAGTTAATTAAGTAGTCATTTGGTTGTTAAAAATGATCATTCGAATAATGCGCATTATAAAAAAGATATTTGAATAACTATTTTTATCACCTGAACAATATTCTTTGAAAACTAATTAACAATTTTAACGTTGTTAAAAATTTACAAAAGAAAAACAAATTTTATTCAAGAATTTTCTTGATCATTTTAAATATTTAAAAAAAAACGTTTCGGTAAAAATAAAATAATATTTTAGAATTTTTTATATCAGATTGAGTTCCGCAAAGCAGTGTTTTGGCGCCATTTCTATATATTCTCTTCAATAGAGATTTTCGAACTTTTCAATCAACCACAACGGTATCATTCGCTGATAATATTGCGGTTCTTTCGATACATACTGTTGCATGTATATGGCTTCGACAATTTTATAAATGCATCTAAACGTTATAGAAAACTGTACTGAAAAATGGCGGATAAATATCAACGAGAGCAAGTCTAACCATATAACATTTACACTTAATAAAACGTGTTGCCTAGGAGAGCTTTTTTGACAAGGTAATACCAAGTGCTGATATGTTGAATACCTAGATATTTACACTCAAGTTAGTGCTGATTATGTTAAATACCTAGGTATGTATCTAAATCGCAGACTAATATGGAAACACTAAACTAAAATCAAAACTATAAAATTCAGAGTTTATACATACGTTAATCCAGATAATCATAATATGAAATTAGCATTCGAAAACAAAATATTGATTTATGAAACGATGATAATTTCTATCTGGTCAGAGGGAATACATCTTTGGGGCTGCTCTAGCAAATCTAATGTGGCATTGGTACAGCGAACCCAATCAAAACTATTTAGAATGATGACAGGTGCACCCTGATACGTAAATAAAACTCTGCAATGTCTACAGAGTCTACATGATGATCTGAATGTGCTATATATTAAAGACATTATAAAAACAAGATCCACTAATCATCATCACAAATTAGAAAATTACCCCAATTCACTCGTTGCTACGCTGCTCCATACCAAAATTAAGAAAATTGAAAAATAATGGCGAATGGACTTGATCCAGTAAAATTGCATCTAATAGTAAATATACTCACGAAGTTAAGACTATTTATAATTATAATCAATTTTTAACTCATAGAATCAAAATAGCTGATAGAATGTAACTTATATTCTGATTGTTATTAATAAAAGAAATAAAAGAAGCCGATATATATTGCCATTATATCATTGTCAAAAATGTTAGCTTCTTAGATTTTATATAAATTTTAATAATAACTTCAAAAAATATGTCATTTTAAAGCAAAATACAAATTGAAATATTACATTGAAATATACCAGGAACCTAAAACTTTTAAAATATATTTATAACTAGTAGTGTAGGCCATCGTGCCTTACGGCAAATTGCTGGAACTTCCCGTACCGTAACGAAATATTCGAAGAATATTAATTGTTTAGAAATAAATTATTATGAATACTGCAACTTTCATTATTATTATTTTATAGACAAAATATAAGAGCTTATGTATTGGACAACGACGTATATAAGTGAGCTATAGAACTCTAAACAGAATTAAAATTAAAATACGAATTATTAACTTCCCGTAGGTTAAGTTACAGTAATGGGCCAAAAATCGAAAATATTTACATACATAATTTTTACATAGTTAATCATATTTTATTTCTTTTTTTTTAATTAAGAGTAATTGATAAATTTTCGACTTATTAGTAGTTATCAATCAACTAATAGACAAATTAGTATTCGATACAGATCATTGAAAATTTGTATTCTTGTTCCGTATTATGTCAAATTATTCTTTGAAGTAATTCAACATCCATAATAAACTCGTTTTTATCGACTTGATAAATGATAGTTGGGCGAACGAAAGATCGTGTTCAACGACCTGGTAAAATTGTCGCATGCGAATCAAAGCAAATTTTCGAAATGAAGATTAATTTTAAAGCCCGTTGTAAAATTATACTTAAGTCAATTCATTGTTAAACGTAAAAGCGTGAATGGGTTTCTCTTAGGGATAATTAATTTTCAAGTCGACCCAACGGCCAAACTAGTATCAAAATGCTCAAGATTCACTTCATTGATAGTGAATTACATTACGCCTTTATGAACAATTTTTTTGCACAATCCTCCATCAAACAAAGGTTTTTTTTCGTAAAATAACATTATATAGGTATGTATCATTTTACGTTATCATTTCTGCATATGTAAAAAAGCCACATAATGTTCCTAAATATTATATGTTTTGATAATAATCCGAATTGCATTTTATGTTTTTTCGACATTTCAAGTCATTCTAAATCGAATGAGACCAATTTTGGAAAAAATGCATGTGTATGTATGTGAGCCGATCTTTGACCTTTCGTCGATATTTTCTCAAAAACGGTTGGACCGATTTAAAAAAATTAAAAACTATGTGTGAAATTTTTAGTTCATATTTTAGCCCATAACGTTGAATCGATTTTGAAAATTCTAAAACTGTTTGCAAAATATTGGTTGAGAATCGCGTTGATAAGCTTTCAGTAAAGATCGGCCGGGTGGTTTCTTCGGAATTTATTGTTAAACTTTTTTTTGGCGATTTTGATGAAACTTTGAATAACGATAGATATCGCTATCGATAACGATAACATACTTAAATATTCGAATCTTATGATTAGCAGTTGAATTATAAAAATTCATCAAATTTTATAATTTTGCCGCGCGTTTCAGCAATTCTAATCAGAATCTGTGTAAAAAGCATATGTACTTTCTTTGGTGTTTCGTTTGCAGCTACTGATTACAGTTTACGTCCAAACTTAAATAAAATACTGTTTCAGAAAACAAAAAGGATGAAATGAAACGCGTAGAACAAATTAATTTATACAATTATGCTTTTGACACTTTTGAACATTTTTGAATAATTTTTACTACTAATTTTAATAAATTAGTAATTATAAATTCTTGTTGATACATTACACGTCTCAGAAAGTTCAAGCAAAATGCTACTTATAGCTAGTCTGAAATAAAATTCTTCGAATATATTTTCGTTATTGTAAAGCAATATAGAATCCCACCATTTTAAAAATAATCTAATGTAGGATGTTTTTAGTATATATATAAGAAATTCTGCATCAAAGTAGTGGAATAATAATGCAATGTTCAAAAAATACACTAACTGAATATAAGAAAGAAATTAAGTAAATTGATTTTACGAAAAGTAAAATAGGTTGCTTTATTTTAGAAAACGTACTATACCCAGATATTAATACTTACTAAATTATTCTGCAATCGTTACTTATTTAATTAAAAATATTAAATTTTATTTTATAAAATAATTCTCGAGTAAATTAATATAATGTAAATAGTATAATATAGTAAAAAAATAACTCATTTCTTAAAAGAAAGACATTTTTGTTTTTCATAGATATGACATGTTTCATCATAAAATAGACGTAAACCTTCGCATAGTTCTTTCAAACAATAATCTGTCAATTAAAAGTTTTAATGGAGCAAAACTCTTATTTCTATATAATAATTAAGAAAATATAATATAATACTAAATGATATATACACTTACTTCCTCCAAATCCACTTATAAAGTCACCTTCATCGGCATTGAAAACGGTTGGACCTGGAGGTCCGGGTGGTCCTGGAGGACCAGCTTTGCCTTCACTGCCCGTTGCACCTAAAACACAAATCATAATAAGTTATATTTGGCTTATATTAAATAATATGATTAAACCTACATTCAAATAATTAATAACAATATTTTATTATTATTGAAAACAAATCATATATGTATTGGAAGGGGCAGGGCATAAAGGGCCAATGTGATTGTTAGCAATTATACGGCGAAAATCAAACTAACTACAACAAAACATGTACAACATATCAAACCAACGACTATCTAACTATGTTTAGTATAGATTCCAGCTAATTCTTTATAATAAAACTATGTTCTTCTAACATTTTTTTATTTGTCACCTGGTCCTTTTTATATTCCTGTATAAATGTTTAGAACTTTAGATGGACCTTCAAGCCCCGGTTCACTATACTATAGAATTTTTAACAAACACTATATTTAAGCTTAACGAATCGAATATTTACCTAAACATGACAGACACCATAACTTTAATAATATATATCGCCAGATATAAGTTAAAACAATTATTCAAGTAATTATCAAACATTGTTAAATGTCGTACGATATTGAATAAAATATTCAGGCCATGAAAAATTACGCATATGTGCTTCATATAACACTATATAGAATTTTTGAAAAATCACGTTATATCGATCTAACCTTTTTCACCCTTATCGCCACCTCTGCCTGGAGTTCCTGGAACACCTGGTACACCATCTCGACCAGACGCTCCTCGGTCACCCTTTATTCCTGGTGCACCAGTAGATCCTGTGTGCCCCTATATATATAGACAAATATAAACAATTAGAATTAATTATAAGTGGAATAAAAGTTTAACAAGTGTGCTTTATAATTTCATTAAATTATTGGCGAAAAAAATATTGGTATATATTTTATTAATATGATGTAAATAAAAATAAAGAAAATTGTAACTGTTATAGTTCTTTTATTCACTCCTTTTTTGTTATTTCACAATATATTCCAACACACATAACGTGCTCATTTTGTTTAATTCATAGAAATTTATAAAACGTGATCACCCATCAATACCGATATCGATACAAGGATTACCGGTATCAGAGTGAATAAATTATAATTGTTTCATTTAAGAATAAACTTTTATTTCCTATCTGTGTTTACTCTATTTTCGATAGAAACTAATATTATGCAATGTGAATAAACTTTATGGTGATATTAAATTACTTAAAATGCTTAACTTTTTTGTCGCACATCACATTCTTATTGATTTTAAGTTTTTTTTACCAAAACTTGATATACAATATTTTAAGATTAATGTAACTATATAACATTTTAACAGTGATGGCTAATTAGTACTGCAATATAATTCGATAAAAATTAGTTGCTGTAGAAATGAATCATAATACTGATAGTTACACATAACAGAGTTTAAGTATTGCAAAATCACCGTATTAAAAATTAAAATCTTTTACACATTGTAATACAATACGCATATGAGTCAAGTAGTGTGAACTGAATTTTCAAGTGTTGTTCTATAACTTTTAATATGTCTCATATTACGAAATGAAATTTAATAACTTTAGCAATTCATTTTAAAGGTTTTTTTGGTAATATTTTTCAGTATTGCTGTATTTGCACTCAAAAACCTGCTAACCGATATACGTGTTTTACTAGTTCTAGCAAAATCGTTAAACTAAATTTAATATACTATTTAACGAACATTCCGAAAAGAAAAATTTAAAATGTGCATTTATAGTACTGAGTCAAGGGTAATAGAAATTATTCGAAGTAAAAGATTTTTATGTATAGGTACTTGTTATGTATAATTCGTGATTATTATATTTCTTAAAAACTTTTCTTACCCTTTCCCCTTTCGCACCATGTATTCCAGTTTCACCACGATCTCCTTTATCACCTTGAGGTCCCTTTTCACCACGGAAACCTTGAGGTCCGGCAGGTCCCGTATCGCCTTTTTCACCAGGAGGACCTATTCTACTCACTCCAAAACCACTACCAAGAACAGATTCCTACAAAAAATATATTTCAATATTAATATAATAACACAAGTACAATGAAAAAAAATGCAAGCAAAACCAAAAATGTTTAAGAAATAAAAAGAACACAAAATCTGTGTAACGATGGAGCATTTTGCAACGATTGAGTTATAAGTTTTTTGCTTTTATTTTGAAAATGTATGGAGATATCAATATTAGTAAATCTCAGAATTATCATACAAGCTAGTGAATACATAATATAGTAAAACATATCATATAAAAAAGTTAAGATAATGGCATTAAAACAATCGACGAACAATCAAACACAAATTATATCCGTTAAAATTGTTTTTTGCGGATTCATTATAAATAAAAAAAAAATAGTTCTTTTTGAATACCATATATCCAACACTTAATATTATTAAAATTCGATTTTCGAAGAACTGAATTCGTTTTTATCCATTTTTTTTGTCAAACTTTCGTTAATAATGTTTAGGTACATCGTGGATAGTTTAAAATGTATGAGCAGATTTTCATAAGTTATCCTTAAATTATTAAGGATTCCTAATAGGCTTTCCTAAGAGAAACAACATATTATACATGTTTTACTTATTATTAGTCAGGTTCTAGAAATTCAAGAGTACTTTTTTAAAATACAACCGAATATAAAAATGTGATATTACAGCAATTTTTTCAAATTTATCAATAATAGTGTATTTTATAAAATTAGAAATAATTTGATTTTTCGAAACTGTTTTCAGTGCGTATCTATTTAAACTAAAAAATCTACGTAAAAGAGTTCTAAATCTAAAACTAAATCCAGTCAAAATTTAAAATCATTCGAGTATCAGACAAATTTTCAGTATTTTCAAAACTCTTGTAAAATAAATATGTACCTAAATTATATTCGTGAGTTAGATTATTCATATCTTAGAAATTCTAATTTAAAATTTAGTAGAAGTATCATAATTATACTCATTTGCCTACATTATTTATATATCCGTTCAGATTAACTTTATATGTAACATAAAGATAAGAGTTATTATTTTATAATATTATTTTAATGACAAATGTATTAAAAAGGCCCTTTCATAAATTAATCTCATCTATGTAATACTGTTATATTAATTTAATAGTTTTATCAATTTTTCTATCAATTTCGCTACATAAATTCTATCCCGAAAAAGATTGCATAAATATTCATTAAGAAAATATGAGTCAGTTTCTCATTTACATAGTATAATTAGTTATTATACTATAAAGTGGAAGTGCTTTTGAAAGATTTAAATATTTTTAATGCTGTGTAGAAAAAAACTGCGATAGATACCTTTATTATTATTTGCATTGCAAATATATCGAGAAACTAAAACAGATATTTTACTTGATAAAAATAAACTATAAGACAGAATTACGAAAAAAGAACACTGCAAAAAGAGCTGCTAAATGGTCTTATTACTTACCTTAAATGCAGATCTAGATGTCCAACTAGGCTGCATTAGGATGAACATAGATTTATTAAATCAACAATTTTAAAACTATTCAATAGAAATTTTCGATAAATATTTCTATAAATTTCCATTTTTGATAAATAAATAATTAAGGAAATACTGGAAAATCATATTAATTGAATGCTTACAATGATTTCAAGATTATACTATTATAATCTTATAATTTGTAATTGTTCAATACGAACACACGCTTATTTATTACTATATAGTAATTTTTAGACTATTCCTGAAATGGACAACAAATAAAACTGAAGAACTTTAAAAATACAATATCATTACAGGGATTTTGTAAAGTGATAGATATTAATGTAACATAAATTTATTTTTAATCTTGCGCTGGTAATGTAAAAATACCTAATAATCCGTTGGTATATTTTTTAAATCAAGTATAAATAATATCCAAATTTTATTAAATATTGCTACCGGCACAACTAGTCGTCTAATATCTTATAGTTAAGATAAAATTGTGAACTAAAGATATTTCTTTTAGCACCGCCGATCAAAAACTTGGTCTCAACTTAATTATACAAGTACGTATTTAGTTTGGTCGCATTTTATAACATTATGTAATAAAATTTACTACATTTTCTTATTTAATAATTATCACCAATAGTAAATATAGTTATAAATTATAAGTGTTATTACAAATTTGATGGCCTCGACTACTTAGTAGTATATTTATATGGCACAAGATCAAAATATTTTTATAATCCAATGGAATTTATTTAAATATGATATTTATTGCTATAATTAAAAAATTGGTAACCGACTTTGATACTTCTATCATAAATGTCGTACGTCATGATTTATTTTCTATTAATGTGACTAATTATATGTTTGTTATTATACACACACACACATATATATATATATATATATATATATATATATATATATTTGTGAAAATGTATCTCGTGAAAAAACTTTAGAACTGCTCGATCAATTTCAATGTATCTTAATTTAACATTTGACTTTTAGTTTATCTCAAGAGACGAGATAGCTTTCGTCGTTAATTATTTGTATTTAACTTTGAAAACTTTTTATTTAATTTTTCCTAATTTATTTTCCAGGAGGTGCAGTGAAGCGAGGCTTAAAAGTCCGCTGGTAAAAAGGTCCACCACCGATATCTCAAAACAAGCATATTTAGGAATTCTTTAACTACATAGTTTGAAAGTAAAGGGCAAAAGATTGGTAGCAAGCTGCTGCCATAAATTAAGCAATATCGCTAACAAAAAATAAATAACCATGTTTTAAAATCTATAACAAAAGTATTTTCTTTCTTTGTTAGTTTTTCTGGTTGTGAGAACTTTTGTTTAGTTTATGAGACCTTAATATATTTTTGAAGTAAACGTTTTTTAATTGTTTCAAAAGATGTATTGTTAATTTGAGTTAGATTCAGCAGATGTTTTTATAGCCTTTATAATAGCTTACATGCGCATAGGGTAAAAAGAGCCAATCACTCTGGCACAGATGTAGACAGTACAAAATAGTAAATAAAAATATAAATTCAGTTCAAAAAGCAATTTTACAAGAAAGAAATTAAATTAGTAATTATTCCAGTTTGCCTGATTTATATTTGTGACAAAATACTAGATCAAGGTTATATACAGCACTGTCCCTTTAAAAAATCTTCCCATGAAGTGTATATTTTGCTTAGATTGAATATTGTAGCTATTATTTTGAAGAATACCTTTAAAATTAAAAATAATATATTGAACCTGTTTGCTCCTTGGCTGTCCCATTTTACCTTGCCTACGTGACAAATCTTCGAAAAACATCAAACAGAACACCTTTCTACAATGATAAATTAGCTGGAAGTTTTACTGAACATAGTCAGATAAATATTTAATCGGCGTTCACAAGAAATTGTGATATAGTTGGTTTCGTTTACACCATATGTTTGCTCAAACTCAAACTGGACTTCTGCCCAATTTGAGTCGATTGGCCCTACGCTCTACCCTATTAGAACAGTTTATAATAATTTATTGAAATATTATAATTAATATTTGATATTTATATTTTACTTACTAATACATATAAAAATCAACTATATATAATTGTGAGTATAGATAAAGAATTGGATAAATTGAACATCACTCTTGTAATATTAAACAAATATTACCAGATTAAGATAACTAATAAATTTTGTTGGATGTAAAGTTAGAATACATTTTATACATACATCAGATTCAAAATCAAGGTTTTAATATATAATTATATATAAATAGCATTTAAGGGCCACTTCTATATTGGCACTTTAGTAGGATTTTATAGATCTAGTACGATCAATCATATTTCTTTTGTTTCATAATGCCATATTCTGAATATTAAAACACAATCGATGTCGTATTATCGAGTTACTTGAAAAGAGCTCGACAACGCTATTGTACATTCGTGCAATGCGATCCGGAAATTACCTGTCACCTAGCTGTTCGCAGGGCAAAAGCTTTCATTCGCGGTTTATAAAATTCACGCAATTCCAAAGGCACGAAATGCCGAAAGACTAATGTTTTGTGGAATACATCACACAAAATTGTACATGGAAATAACACGAGTACAGTTTATGTATCTAATCTATTGTATGTCGTGCAGATAGAGAATAGTATCATATCATCATCGTCAATATTACTATCAAGATCGTATAGGAAACATTTTCATAAATACATTGGCATGAAAATTATCTGATAACCTTCCCTAATATTAATCGAACCTTCAAGTATTTTTTGCGTTGTTCTATGACCTTTAATAAACTGGACGCCGCTACTGATTTTTATTATTATCAAAATTAATCAGATAATGCAACTACATTAATAATATTTTTTTCATTTTTAGTATTTATTGTACGTGAATCAATAGTTAAAATTTATTAGCATAATCAGCTTTAGAACTGAAAGCTTTAGAACCTATGATTTCTTGGTTCTATGTCATTATAAATATTCTAATTCCAGATTTCGTCCAGTCCTTCTATTTTGTCTACATTTCGTTTAATATTAAGCCTACTTAGTAATTTCTCTACTTATTACATCTGTTTTATTATTTTTTATTTAAATTTTATAAGTCAATTTAGCTTTTAATGTCTTTGTACGAAAATGATAATATAATGAAATTTGAGATATAAAAATATATTGTAATCTCATAATAGGTAACAGTTTTCGTACGAAACATGTACTAATATGAATCTTTCTATCAACTAAATGTATTTATACACAACAAAAACCCTAAGAAGTTACATGCAGAGTGTTATAGCCGCGCATTTTATCATTAATTTTTTTGTATTGATTATGAAATGACGTGCAACAAATAATGTTGAAATCCTGATATAAATGCTATATTCTAAGCGTGAATAACTTATATATAAAATTCCTCTGTACGGGTTTGTGTCGAGGTAGTCCTTCTAAACGATTATTCGGATTTTGATAAATCTTTCTGAAGTTTGTTAAAGATTTTTTTTAGAATGTAAATGATTATAAAAATATAGAATTATGTATAAATAAATGAAAAAAATGGCATGTAATTGTTTGACATTAAAAATAGTTTGATAAATGAGAACTGTCATCTGCCAGACAATATTCATATTAATGTAATCATGATTATGTGTGAGAAAAATGACATATGACAATATTATTGCCGAAAAGCAGCTGAGATTTGCCAGAAAAAATTAAAATAATATAAGATACGGTAATATTTAGCAGATGAAATTATATAATTCAGTTGGACATATCAATTTTTCAAACTTTTGCATGTCATATTTTGCCTTACTATACTAAATTATTTCACAATATAAAAAATAAATTTACTTAATTAAAAATTATTTAAAAGTTTCATTGTGGCAAAAATTCTTTTATTTGGCATTGTATATGAAATATTTAATTAGTTGATCGTAGATTAAATGATATACAAATGAAAAGGAATTGACAGATTAATTTACTTAAAATATTAAATTAAGTAATAATAATATATATATTAAATTATTACTTAGAAAATTGTAATTTAGATATTTTAATTACTAAAAACCAGCTAAAATATGGTACGAGATTATAAAATTTATAGGCAGCATTATTGGAGCAATTATTTTGGGTGGAAAAATCCAAGGTAATATTGTACTTTTACCGCGGATACTATATATTATTTTTTTCTGAATTTGTTATACGATTTAAAAGACCTCTATTTCCAATATAGTCTGAAAATTAAGACATCATTTTATTTAAAGCAGGTCTACATGTAACATGGCTCACATTGATGTATATGCATTTTGGTGTGAATAGTAATTTGAAAAAACTATCATTATTATTTTTAGGTAAACGATAAATTTATTAGTATAGGTAAAAAAAGTTGTAGGCTTCTGCACAGTACAACATCTGTCGCGTCATCTAGTTTATATATATATATATATATATATATATATATATATATATACGAGTATATATATATATATATATTAAATTTTTTATATAATTTTGATGTTGAAATATGTGATATTCAGTTTTCAGGGCAATACATCAATTAAAAAATTTGTATGACTTTAAAACATTTTTATTTTTTCCATACGTTTCGACACATAGTTTTGTGTCATCTTCAGTGGACTCTATTTTGAAGGTACAGATAAAATTATTAATTAAAACTAATATATAAGAAGTGATATGGTATGAACTTACATGTAATTGTAATAATCCTAATTATTTCCTAATTATAATTGTTCACAATGCACAATGAAACCAATTCTTGTCACTTTAAATGTAACAATAATAATTTTTTTCATAAACCACACTTTTACACTAGACAACATGGGATTTTTTATTTGTAGTCTTTCGTATTTTCAGATTAGAAAGCCTTGGAATGCTGCTGTTCTAATTCACTGTAGTTGCTTTGATCATTCGAAACTGTTTTCCTATTTTCCAAAGTTCCGAAAAATATTTTATCTTTTATAAACCATATTTTACTAGACAACATGGGATGGTATGTTTTATTTATTATAGGTGGCCAAAGGCAAAACTATTCTCAGTTATGCCTTTCAGCGCGGCTTTGGCCATTCAAAAGTTTGAGAAAAATAGGCAAATTTGACAGGTCCAAAGACTGAATTAAAAAAATATTTATCTTTTGAGATGTTTCCGAGAAATTAATTATTTGCTGGCAACAAAAAATTTGAGTCTGGTGAACCTATTCGTAGTCAAAAAAACAAAAATTGGGCTGACTAAAATGCTTTCAAAATTTTGAAATCGCGCTGTACAAATTGGCTGCGCACTAATTAACGCAACCACTTCCAGCTGCCAGACGGCCCTTACCCTAACCGAGAGAGCACCAAGGACCACATACCAAAAAACCAGCCTGACTAAAATGCTTGTTTTGAAAACGTTGCTGGCTCCTTTACTACTAGAACAGATAGTGGTATAACTTTTTACCCGCGGACCTTTAAGCCCCGCTCTACCCTATGTTTTATGTTTATAAAAACAAAGACGTTACCTATATACATTATTTTTGCAAACGCGAAAAAATATGTATATGTGCCGCATATTCATAAATAGGAATAAAGAGATTTTCAAAGAATAAGACATGTAATAACCACAAAGTCAGAAATGAAAAGCAGAATTTTCTCATTGTCGTTGTACAATGAACTCATAAATGTGTGAGAAGTTTTACAGATTTGGTGCCGACATAAAAGAAATGAAGAATAAAATAGAATAATATAGCTGTAACGTAACGTGAAAAAATATTAGAGACAAAAATATTGTCGTACAATATTTAACAAAAATAATAGGTTATCGCGGTGCTTAAAGTTCTGCGGGAAAAAAGTTATACCACCAACATCTAAACGCAAGTTAAGTTAAGAATTTTTTAACAACAATATTTGAAAGTAGAAGGAAAAAGATGTATAACCATCGCCTTTGAAAAACTATAACCAACGTATACGTGACATTAATATAAATTTCAAGTATTTATTATTTAATTGCTTTATAAAAGGTACTGTTAATTTTAGGTTAGATTCAACGGGTGTTTTTTTTTCTTTAAACAAACTTACATGTAGTTGTGATAAAAAGAAGATAAATTATATTAATAGTTATACCGATAAATATTCTGACGAAATACCAGATCAAACTTAAATACAGTGTGATCTTTGTAAAAAATGAAATTTGTATTTTGGATTCTTTCAATAATATAGCTATAGTTTCTTAGAATCATTTTTAAATTAAAAATATAACATCGGACCTGTTTGCCCCCTGGCTTTCCCTTATTAACCCCCTATGATGTAAAAACGATCAGATGACAAAATTTAGAAAAACAGTAAAAACGACATATTTCTATTATTAAGAATTAACGGAACATATTTTGATTGTTAGTACTTTAGGTGTTGTAAGTTGTGATATAATTCATTTCGTTTAGACAGTATAAATACTAAGTCAAATTGAACTTTTGTGACCCGCCCTTGTTATCAAACCCATCATGTAATTCAAACGCGAATATACATCATTTGACTAAAATTTAAAAACAATCATTATTTATTCTAATAAAATTCAATATTATACTAACATTACTCAAGGTTTCCTTCAAAGTTGCAAAGTGTGAGAAATAATAGCACAGAAATTGCGCATGAAACCATTTCAGTACAAACAAACAGTTTTCTGCATAGATTTTGCTGATATGAAACACTTTGTATGTGCATATAATTATACATGTATCTTAATTCGGATACACGTGTTTATATTATCCTTCGTAAGCATTTCTGAAGAGAATGAACAGTTACAAGGACCTGTTTTAATAGCACATCCTTGTAGAAGGTGGTGGTATACGAATTAATCTCTGGTGTCGTACGAAACCCATTCAAATATAATTTATAGACACTCAAGTCAGAATTATTAGGATCAAAGGAGAACGTCCAATCCGTTTGAACTTGCGGTGCTATTAAATCTCAGCTCCTTACATTGATTTTTGGTTTGAATTTCGTACTAACAAATTAATTAAACATATACGAGTTTGATGTAATTCAAGGAGCTGAATGAGAAAAAAAGATGTTTTAATGGTATTATGAGAGCATTTCAAAAATATTGAATATGTCAAAACGAGATTCTCGACGAATAATTTTTGAATGCATTTCAATTTTGCAATATTTCTTATATATTATAATAAGTCATATAAAGTGTTTAAAATATATTCAGAACAAATTTGTCACATTATCAGTTTGCATTCCGTTTTAATTAAAGGGCAAGATCCATTTTTTTTTGAAGTTTTGTAAGTTGAAAGAAAATATCTGATATGTAAGAATATCTGTATTATATAGAATTCATATTATCATATTTAACAACCATAATTTATATTTATAAGTTGTAAGTAAACTAACACTACTTTTAAAAATAGACAACTGTAAATGGATTTAATTTCAATTTTGGAAATTCAAATATAACATAAAAAGCACTTCGATTTTGTACCCAAGTTTGTTTATAAAAATCAAAAATTTAAACGATTTCAATTGTGAATCATAACTTTGTCAAATTTACAAGACACTGAGGGGTTTTACTAATGCTCAGCTTGTCGTAGAATTTGAAAATCCGCATTCGTAGATAGATTTATAAGTTGTAACTGCATCATGACTTTTATTAATAAATAACATTTCTGGCATTTCAGTACGATCAAGCCATAGCTATTTTTTTGCAAAAATACCGCCTATCAAGACACGTGGGTTATAAATTTAAAATTAACTAGTGCACAGTGTTGCTGGTCCACTTTCATAATCGATGATTTTGTCATTTCATTAACCGATTTTACAATGTGCATGGCGGAGAAATTCAACAAAATGTATTGCTTATGCATAAAAATATACATTAATTGAAGCACGAAGTATATGCGTTTCCAAAAAATAAAACTTTTTTTTTGTTATTGACGTTAGATGTAAGAATATATAAAATAATATAAACTTACGTCAAAACTATTTGGATCAAAAGTTCCAGGTGGACCAGGTGGTCCCTGAGGCCCTGCAAGACCCGGGCTTCCATCAACTCCGGGCTCACCTTTGCTACCCTGGAGACCTTCGGGACCAGTGGCACCGGTATCACCTCTTTCTCCGCGCTCGCCCTTCACTCCTTGCGGTCCACGCTCTCCTTGAGGCCCTGGCGCACCCTGCAAACGAACAATAGAATAGTAAATATTTTTTTGTAATAAAACAATTATCTTATATATGATCTTATTTTATAATATAGATTATTTATCAGCATTATATTATTGTTAAATTAATTCTAGTAAAATTTTAACTTTTAACTCAAGAAAATATCGCTGAATTTTTTAATTCACTTACGAATGTACCGCACACCATTTTTAACTTCCCGTAGGTAAGTTATAGTAATCGCAAAAAAATCGAAAATGAAAATTTTTATATATCTTTACATTTCAGAGGTTTCTGAATATTTTGGCATACCTTAGAAAAAATGGATGTATGTGTGTGTGTGTATGTGTGTGTGTGCGTGTATGTATGTGTGTGCGGATACAAATTTTCGTCAACGATTTCGGGAACACGGATGAAGCAATTTGAATAATTTAAAAAACATTCGATTCGTATTGATAAGGAGACGTGCTGATTAGTTTTTGGCGAGAGTAGGTCTAGCCGTTCCGAAGATATGGGGAAAAAAGTGACAAAAACGGTACCTCAGTTTTTAAGAGAACGGAGCGTCCGATTTTAATAATTCAAAAAACATTTTACTTGTATTGACAAGATGAAAATTTGATCAAATTTTCATAAGGGCAGGTCTAGCGGTTTCGGAGATCTAACGAAAAAAGTAAAAAAAAATGCCATTTGGCGGTCAAAAATGATCATTAGACATATGCACATCAAATTATCAGATATTTTATAGAGATTTTAACAATAAGTATAAATTTTGTTTACATTCCTATGGGTTCCGTACCAATGTTTACCCGTTAGGCAGCGACGCGGCGCTTACGCGCTTTATATTTTGTCTCTATGCAGTTAAAGCAGTACGATTGCTTTAAAAAAGTTCAGATTTTTGGTACAGGAAGTTCCAGCAATTTGCCTTAAGGCACGATGCCCTAATTGCCGTAAGACAGAATTCCACTTACAGCTAGTTTTATAATATTTTGTGTTGAATAGTAGAACATTTGAAGATAAAATAATATACTTTTTATGCAAATCCTATTGTGATTTGATTAGCACTTAATGTTGTAAAACTTGAGAAGTTACACGAACCACAAATTACATGTAGATAACTGCGAAAAAAATGGATATGATTATGAAAAAAGTTGAATTTTGGCATTATTATACTATACGAAATTTCAAAATAATTACCAAGAACAAATTATGAATAAATTTGTAATTTGTGTATGAAAATAGATTGATCATGCGAAATTGTTGTTCATACTTGGTATAAATTGTATATAAAATAATGAAAGAGAAGCACTATATTACGATTATTAGGGTTGAGCAGGACACAAAGCTCCGCGAGTAAAAAGTTCACCATAATTATCTCAAAAACAAGCAAAGTATAGAATGCTTTGATAATACTATTAGCAAATATAAGCCAAAATGTAACTAGGCTATACCTTCTTATCCCGCCATGACAAAATTTAGAAAAATAGCAAAAAGAAATATTGCTTTACATAGGTCGACAGTTGTTTGTTCGACACGCATTATGGATTGTCATGAAGTTAATTTAGTTTTGACAGTATAATTACTGAAAATCAAATTGTGCTGTTTTTATACATTTTACTATCTCCCGTTAGAAATATAATCGTAACAGAATCAGCTAACTATTAACCAAAACATTATGCATTCATTAGTTGTTTCATATTCGCTTTCAGATTGTTATTACGAATCAGTTATATAAGTACCTTAATCTATAGAAAAAATTTACTCCAAAGAAAAATGGTCAAATAATATAAATGAGATGTCAACAAGACACATAGATATAAGGCACAAGTTTTATATTTAAAATAAAATGATGAAGAAGTTGTTATATTAATTAATCGTCTTTTTTTAAATATGCTCAAACATACAAGATAAATTAAATTAGTGATTTTCTAACGAAACTAAACTAAACGTGATTTTCTGCCGTAAAACAATATTTAATAAATGCGAACGGGTTGATGCGCAAATAAATGCCACGCAACCCAACGTTGAGCAATATTAAAACGTTGGATCGTTCGAGTTTAATGAGTAACCAAACGGAAACCAGATGCGAGTCCGTTTTGTTACTGAGAATTCAAACGATAAAATATTCGAGCAATTTGTAGCTATCGACCTAAATGTTGCAAGTAAACAGTGAAACATGGTATATTAACTGACATCGAACAAATTGAAATCAGTTAAACATTTCAATTGCGACTTAGAAATGTTGGTAATTAGGATTTCAACAGCTGACTGCATATATGACTCATATACAAAACTACTGCTGGAAGCATTGTAGAATATTTAAGAAGTGCATTATTGTAGGAATTGGAATTGTTGATGTGGTCTACGAGAGTGGATCTCATCATATAGTTGAAGAAAATCATCACAAATCATATTTTAATATAATTCAGTAAAATTCATGTTATATATATATATATATATTATTTATATATTATTATTCAAAACGAAGCAGGGTAACGGTGTGGACATTAACTGACACACTTAAGATTTAGAAAAAAAATTAGATCGCGTTGGTTGGAAATTATGAGCTTTCAAGTGCAATTTAGAGCTTTGGTATAATGATGACCAATTTTCGGTTATTGTGGTTAAGTATTATAAATCGTAACCATGAATAACATTTCTAGGACTACAGTAAAAAATACCACAGTTTCCCCAAGTTTTTAAGACAATTGTTGTTTAATTTGATCGATTTTAAGAGGCCCTCTTAAAAAATGTACTAAAGTCTGTTGGCAAGATTTATTCAAAAGTTGATGCGTTTAATCAGGATTTTAAAATAATAAAATACTTTCAGTGTGGTCTTAGAAATGTTATTCACGGTTACGGTTCCAAAGCCTATATGATAAAAATTAATAATAATTAACCACAATTAAATATTATATATATATATATATATATATATATATATATATATATATATATATATATATATATATATATATATATATATACGTGCATGTAAGGTATTATTTCAGAGAAGATATAGTTCATACTCAGCAATCTGGAAATTCCTCGGATAGCGCAAGCTATTCTAATACAACTAACGATGGCAATAATTTAGAATATTGTCTATCGAATATATTGATTAATTGAACTGAAATATTCTTGCATAGAGATATATTTATCTATTGTAAACTAAGACATCCCAATCACGAGAAATTATAACTTAAGAACTCAAATCTTAAAAATTACAATTGTAGTTTAAATTACACATATTATCATAATAATTCTTGAAGTCTTGAAGTAGTAATAAAATTCAAGGTATCAAATACGAATACATATCATTGACAATATGTGATTTCACATAAATAATGGAAAAGAATATAAATTAATAATTATGTATGAAAGAATTCGATATCGGCTGAAACCTCTTAATATTTATGGATCTGTACAATTATAGGTGAGCAAAAATATTTGAAAATTTCAATAATATATGGAAGTAGAAAACTAATTATTTACAAAAAATACATATATCACTATAGCATATATTATTTGTTCGATCAACATTAGTAAATTTCGTTCTAAATATAATAATAGAGTAACACCATAAATCATTTTGAAACCAGTATGTCACTAGATGACTCAAAGTTTGAACATGAATCACGGAAGTCTACAAGGATTGACGTACTAAATCACAGATATCAATACCCATATAATATATATATATATATATATATATATATATATATATATATATACCTAAAAGTGTATGTATATATGCATTTTAAATATACATACATACTACAATAATTTCGCATTTATTTCAAAATTTAGTACTCGAGAAGAGTTCGAAAGTTTTTTATGTTTCACTATCTTTCGGGTTGGATGCTAAAAAGATAGCAGATAATAGACAAGCAGATAATAAAACGTTAAAAAATATAGGACAAAATTAAAATAGCAACAAAAATATACTTCCTACACAAAAAGTTCATTTGCTTCGTTACCGCCATTTATTTAGAGAGCACCATCGATGCATTAAATTCTCAAAATAAATTAAATATTTAAATAAAGTTAGGAAGATATATATTACCTACAATGTTTGAAAAACAGGATATTTTTTATGTATGAAAATAAATTTTTCAAATTTAAACTTCTCAACTCTTTTTGAAATATATAAGATACCGTGGTGTTAAAGGAGATTGTATTTTATGTAGAATGTTTTTTTGGAAATATATAAAATAAAAGAAATTATTCTGTGCGACGTATTTTCCGAAGTTTGATTATAAAGTTTTTATCAAATTGTTTACTGTATTTATCACTGTACATTTAGGAACGGATTCTGCCGCATAACAGACAAATGTTGTGACAAGGCCATATTAGGCTCCAAATTGCATATATTATGCTACTGAATCATACTGAATACGGTCAAAATGACATGTATCTGCTGTGTATTCAGGCGTTTTACACATAAACTGCAATGCCACTCGTATGTTATGAACCTGAGTCAGAAAGACTCAGATATCTAACATTGTTTTTATGACAATAATGCGGTTTCTAGGTTATGTTTTCTATCTGACAACCTGAGAAAATTGCCTGACTGCATAGCAACCACATCGCTTTTTGAATTTTTACCCTTTTTATACGTTCCATTTCATTGATAAGTAAAATCATTTTCGTTAATGAATATTACGTATAATAAATTATTGCTTTAATTATTGCTACACTTTTATATCAGATTTCAATCATGTGATAGATTTTTAGACATAAGAGCTAATGAAAATAATCTTGAACTTATAGCCATTTTTTATATAATTAACTCCCTGTAAGGTAAGTTATAGTAATCGCAAAAAAATTGAAAGTGAAAAAAATTATATATCTTTACGTTTTAGAGGTTTCTGAGCATTTTGGTATACTTTAACAAAATTGATGTATGTTTGTGTATGTGTGTGTGTGTGCGGATGCAAACTTTCGTCGACGTTTTCGGGAACACTGAACAACCGATTCAAACGATTCAGAAAACATCCGATATTGATAAGGAGACGTGTTAATTAGTTTTGGGCAAAAGCAGGTTTAGCCGTTTCGAAGATATGAGGCAAAAAAAACCAACTAGCTGTAAGTGGAATTCTGTCTTAAGGCAATTAAGGCATCGTGCCTTAAGGCAAATTGCTGGAACTTCCCGTACCAAAAATTATTATTTTTTTAAAAACGATTGACATTTTTAAAACAAATTTACTTCGAAAAAATAAAATTTTTGAGAAACTATAATTCAAACAAAAAATTACTTTTTTTTGAAAAAAAATTTTTTTCAAAAAAAAATCTAATTTTTTTTTTTTTTTTTAAATTTTTTTTTGGAAAAAATAATGTTTTCTTTATTTTTGGCATTTTGGAAGATCTTTTTTCAAAGCAATCGTACTGCTTTAACTGCATAGAGACCAAATGTCAAAGCGCGTAAGCGCCGCGTCGCCGTCTAACGAATAAATATTGGTACGGAACCCATAGGAATGCAAACAAAATTTATATTTATTGTTAAAATCTCTATAAAATATCTGATAATTTGATGTGCATATGTCTAATGATCATTTTTGACCGCCAAATGGCATTTTTTTTTACTTTTTTCGTTAGATCTCCGAAACCGCTAGACCTGCCCTTATGAAAATTTGATCAATTCTTTATCTTGTCAATACAAGTCAAATGTTTTTTGAATTATTAAAATCGGACGCTCCGTTCTCTTAAAAACTGAGTTACCGTTTTCGGCACTTTTTGCCCCGTATCTTTGGAACGGCTGGACCTGCCTTCGCCAAAAACTAATCAGCACGTCTCCTTATCAATACGAATCGAATGTTTTTTGAATTATTCAAATCGGTTGATCCGTGTTCCCGAAATCGTCGACGAAAATTTGTATCCGCACATACATACACACACGTACATACATACATACATACACACACACACACACATACACACACACACACACACACACACATACATCCATTTTTTCTAAGGTATGCCAAAATGTTAAGAAACCTCTGAAACGTAAAGATATATAAAAATTTTCATTTTCGATTTTTTTGCGATTACTATAACTTACCCTACGGGAAGTTAAATATGGTAATTAAGTTTTTGGGAGAACATTGCATCCGATTTGAATAATTCAAAAAACTTTCTTGCATTGACAAAATAAAGTAGATATCGTTTAAATTTTTGCAGGAGCAAGTCTGGTGGTTTCAGGGATCAAGTAAAAAATGTAAAAAACTGCCATGTGGCGGTCAAGAATGATCACTAGACATGTGAATATTAAATTATCAGATATTTTATAGAGAGTTTAATGATATGTATGAATCTGTTTACGTTTCTATCGGTTCCATACCAATGTTTATCAGTAAGATTGCGGTGCACTTCGATATTTCTCCTCTAAAAGAGCGACGCAACACGATTGCTTTGAAAAACAGCTCAAAATTTTTAGAAAAAATCGAAGTTAACTTTGAATTATAAAAAAAAAATCCAAAAATCTTTTTTTTCAAAAATTTCAAAATTCTCGAAAATCTTAGTTTTTTTTTCAAAGTATTCAAACAATGTTAAAAGTCTTTTAAAAATTCTAATTTTCGATACGGAAAGTCCAAGTAAATTGCCTTAAAGCACGAGACCATGCACTACTAGTTTATTTTATGATTTCATAAAAAAACAACTCTTACCGTAAGACCAGTGGCGCCTGTCTTTCCATCTTCACCTGGATATCCCCTTGGACCTTGCAGTGATAATTTGTCTACGGCATTCAATATCATAGTGATATTGCACAAACATATTCCTGGTGCACCTGGAGGGCCAGGAGGCCCAACAGCATCGCTCGGACTATTCAGAAACTATAATGAGAAATTTAATTACATTAGCATTTTTCTTCTTCCCAGTCGAAAGATTTAATTTTATGAAATTCAAATGTTGTCATGTCAAATAATTTTGGAATATGTTAAAAAATATTTTTACTGAAGCAAGGGAAAAATTGAATACGAAAAAATCTGTTGACTAGAAACATCTCAAATTCCAAACATTTACGATGAATTTCTTAATATTAATGAGTAATGTAACAAATGTTTATTAACAAGTCATAAAAATTATTGTCATTAGTTAATTATACATTACACACAAATATATATTAATAATATTGTTGAAGATTCATACATTTATTACAATCATTCATTAAACAAACTATTAATTTATGTTAGGTATAGATATTTAATTTCAAAATTAAACTTTGTAAATCATAAAAATCTTCAATAAAATAATATGTTTAGTAAAAAATGCAGTAAAAACCTCACATGAACAAATAATACAATATATAATGTATAGAACCTTGATAACGCGCTAATTTATGGCTGTCAAAATATAATACTTTGTAAATATATTATTACCTTCGATCGATATGGCTGTACAGCATGTAAAAATAAAACATATTAATTTTAGCTGGTGTACATATAAATACATATAAGTACATATATACAGCGCTCTGCTTGATTAAATTTCTCAGTGCAATTATTCACAGAGCGCCATCGTAACCCATACAAAGCAATGAGTAATCGTAGAATAAACCGTATTATATTCCATAATTTCATATTTCGAATTAAGATAGCTATATCAGATATTGCAAGATTTAATCTTTAATAAACTATTACTTACACCTCCCTCTCCAGATCCTGTAAATTCGCCTACAGCTGGTATTCCGGGTAATCCTGGTGGACCCGGTGGTCCTCTTATTGATTCACCAGGCAAGCCCTGAGAAGAAAAATCAGCAATTATAGAAAAATATAATGATAATATATAATTAGAATGTAATGTGAAAATCATATCAATCTCATGAAGGAAAACCATACAAAGTTTTTTTAAAAAAAAAATAGCTTTGGTAAACTTTATGTTTTGAAATGAAAATTTTTCATTTTGAATAAGAAAATATCATATGTAGAATTAATCTTGGTGGAATTGATTTAATTGAATCTTGAATCAAAATTTAACAATGGTCCTTCGTTGAGCTTGGGAAAAAATGCTTATGACAATTGCAAAAGTCCGTATATAAGACGACAACAATAGACACTTTTTTCGAACCTATTGAGAACAGAGTACTAAATGAAATTGATTCAAACTCAACTATTATTGGCTCCGTAACTCAGTCGCAAGTGCCTGGTTCTTAATTTAAGTAATTTCTTATACTACCTAATAAATAATAACATTTATTAACGTTATTTTAAAGAATAAAATGATGAAAACCAAATAAAAATATAAAAAAATACATTACAAACATAGTAAGTATCTTGTAATTCATGTAATTGATTTAATAGTTAAAAAAATAAATACTAACTATATATTTGTATCAAATAATATTTTAATAGGGTAACTATCTTTTCAATCACAACCGCACCGTCTTCACAAATTTTTATTCAATATCAAATTATTTTCTGATTATGTTTTTAATAAATATTTTAGAATTCGAAATAACGAAAAGCTTCGAAACGAAAGTCATTTTTTAACTTCCCGTAGGGTAAGTTGTTGTAATGGGCCGAAAATCGGAATTGAAATTTTTTACATTTCTCGACGTTTTGAAGGTTTCTGAACGTTTTGGCATACCTCAGAAAAAATGGATGTGTGTGTGTGTGTATGTATGTGTATAAATTTCCAGTCACGTTTTAGGGCGCACGGATCAACCGATTTGAATGGTTCAAAAAACATCCGATTCCTATTGATAGGGAAAAGAGCTGATTAGTTTTTGGCAAAGGCAGGTCCAGCCGTTTCGGAGATACAGAGCAAAGAGTGCAGAAAATAGAAATCGTATTTTGGAGAGAACGGAGTATCCGATTTGAATGATCTAAAAAACATTCAATTAGTAATGATTGGGAGAAGTGTTTATTAGTTTTTGGCAAAGGCAGGCCCAGCCATTTTGAAGATACGGAGCTAAATATGTAAAAAAATGGCAGTTTTTGAGAGAACTAAGCGTCCGATTTAAATGATTCAAAGAACTTTCTGCTTGTCTTAACAAAATAATCGATGTTGGAAAAAAAATTGTCCCATTTTTTTTTTTATTTTTTTTTTAGTTTTTTGTATATCGAAAATATTTATTTCTAATTCTGACTATAGTTCTAATATACTTTACAAATAATTTCAACTCTGCAATTCAGTTTATATAATATTTATAAATATTAGACAATGTGTTACAATATTTATAATAATCTATTTAAAAACATTCAGTAATCCTCGAACATTTCGTTACGGTACGGGAAGTTCCAGCAATTTGCCTTAAGGCACGATGCCACCCACCCCACTAGTTTATATTATCATATTAATCCAGCATGTTTAGAAAAAAATTATGTCAAATTTTAAAAAAAATATAGATTATTGTGCCAGGGTGCAGTAGTGATAGTCATCATAACAACTAAACTATTCGGATTTTTTATAGCTTCCAAAATAAGAAATATGAAGTATGTGTGTTCGAACAAGTTTACATAATTGTCAAAAGTAAAAAAAAAATTCGTTCAATTTTTTTTAATAATAACTGTATATAAACAGATTACTTTGTTTGCACTGATAAAAAAAGTGGCGCAACTGTACCCAGTCTCCGCTATCTAATATAGACAAAAGTCATCATTGTCGTTGAATAATATTTTTTTTGAATTATCTAATTAATCAATTAAAAGTTTATAAATAAAAAAAATAAACAAGTTAACAAGATTAATTAGTGATTAGCAAAATAAAGCTAATAGTTTATTGCTTAATACAGCAATTTGAAACAATGTTCTAAATATAAAACAAATGCATTAAGTATTTCTGCAGAACGTTTTACTAATGACCTATATTATTACATAAAAATTATATATGTAAAGTATAGAAGTACAATTAATAACAATTAATAATGAAGTAGTCAACTGACAAATACAAAATTGCATATTGCAACGACTAAATAAGCACTTTCACAGAAAAATGTATTCATTATTCATTTTGCAATATATGATTACCGTTAAATGCTTTACTGGATAAATATGTATTTATCCTAAATAAAAGGAACTAATGTATTGCACCATTAGATTTTAGAACGAAATATATGCATTACATCAACTTTATTAAACTCTTATTTGTAATATATTTTCATTGTACTTTTCACACAATGTTAAAGATTTCAACATTTATTTTCAAAACTAATAACGAATAATGAATATAAAATACAAATATAAGTAAAAACGTAGATTGTTAAAACCCTACCATTTTAATATTTTACTAATTAATTATTAATTATGTATAATTTGATTATTAACAACTATAAAAGTTTATGTACAAAGCAAATGTACCCATTGAGTCATTTTGTCACATTTTCACCAATTATATCGTGCTAAGCGTTTATTAAATTGCTAAAAATTATGCTTTGTAATTTCGTTTTTCGAATATGAAATGCGGTTTTACAAATGTACAAATGTTACACATATTTTTCTCTACTATTACCACAAAAAAAATTAATTTTAATTTACTAATTGTAATAATTTAATTATATGCTGTAGTTTGTCGTATTTTATGTTTTATCAAAGTTGCGCAAACTATATTACATATCACTAAGAAGTTGCACATCACCGTCTTAAGTCCTAAACTTAACCAACAATTTAATTAAATAAGTTCAATTAGTTTAATAAATTGACTAACTAAATAATGTAGTTATACAAGAATGCATAGAATAATAATATAGATTACAGAATCTAATCAAAAGGTGAGTAGCGAAAGCATTTTTTGCATATTTTCAGCTGAAAGGGTAATCAAAAACCTACTGGATTTGTAAAAACAACATTATAAAAAATAAATACTGCTAAAAGATATTTTTGGTAAATTAACAATTTTGAAGCTAATTTGGAAGAAGTGAATTCTATTGACATACATTTGAATGTTTTACATTTTTTGATAATAATAGCGATCAGTCCTATAAGTTTTTGTACTTTATAAATTACAACTCAAACGGTTGTTCTCTCTCTATATGCTGAATGAATTTTTGAAATTTCTTAAATGAGTTGGGGGCTAGGGACTTATTGTAAAATGAGTAAGTAGCAACAGGCATTTTTGACACGTAATATAAAATTGAACTATCATAAAATTTCGATTTAAAATTTGATATATCTCAATTTCCTTCAAATTTAACAATCTTTGATAATGTGTAACAGTTTAAGTAATTACTAAATTGTTTAAATAGTTATCTTGATTAATGTGAAAAAATCACACCTGGAGTTAGTTGAAACAAAACCTTCAGATTAGTTGTAACATATAAGAATTACTGATTCAAATGAAGATGATAAGTTGGAATGTTTAGTTTGTAAGATATAATATGGGTACATGTAAATTGTGTTACAACAGACACGATATCTTTTATTTGTATTTGTACGTAACTATTGTTTACGTTGATTTATGATAAGAATTTTTACAACAGGAGACACTATAATTTTTAACTTCCCGTAGGGTAAGTTATAGTAGAAGCAAAAAAATCGAAATTGAAAATTATTATATAACTTTACGATTCAGATGTTTCTGAACATTTTGGCATACCTTAAATAAAAATGAATGTGTGTGCGGTTACAAATTTTCGTCGACGATTTTGGGAACACGGATCAACCGATTTAATAACTCAAAAAACAATCGATTTGTATTGATAAGGATTAGTTTTAGGCAGAGGCAGGTCTAGCCGTTTTGAAGATATAAGTAAAAAAAGTAAAAAATGGTAATTCATTTTTTAAAAGAACGGAGTATTCGATTTGAATAATTCAAAAAACATTTTATTTGTATAGGCACAATGAACCGTTTAAATATTTGCGAAGGCAGGACTAGTGGTTTCAGAGATCGAGTGAAATAGACATATGCACATCAAATTATCAGAAACTTTATAGAGATTTTAATATTTGTTAACATTTTCTGAGTTCCATTTCAGAGTTTATCCGCTAGAGTGCGATGCGTCGCTTAAGCGCTTTGATATTTCTTCTCTTTACTGCTTTATAAAAATTCAAGTATAAAAAAAACGAAATATAATAAAAAAATCAGTTTTTAAAAAAAGTATTTAGCTGTAAGTGGAATTTTGTCTTAAGGAAATTAAGGCATTGTGCCTTAAGGCAAATTACTGGAACTTCCCGTACCAAAAATTATTATTTTTCTAAAAGCGATTAACATTTTTGAAAAAATTTTACTTCGAAAATATTAGATTTTTCAGAAACAAAAAAAAAATTGTTTGAAAAGAAAAGTTTTCTTTATTTTGGCATAGTTTGGAAATTCTGACCTTTTTTTCAAAGCAATCGTACTGCTTTAACTGCATAGAGACAAAATGTCAAAGCGCGTAAGCTCCGCGTCGCCGTCTAACGGATAAACATTGGTACGGAACCCATAGGAATGTGAACAAAATTTATACTTATTGTAAAAATCTCTATAAAATATCTGATAATTTGATGTGCATATGTCTAATGATCATTTTTGACCGCCAAATGGCTTTTAGTTTTACTTTTTTCATTAGATCTCCGAAACCGCTAGATCTGCCTTCATGAAAATTTGATCAATTATTCATCATGTCAATACAAGTAAAATGTTTTTTGAATTTTTAAAATCGAACGCTCCGTTGTCCTAAAAACCGTGTTACCATTTTTGGCACTTTTTGCCCCGTATCTTCGGAACGGCTAGACCTGCCTCCACCAAAAACTAATCAGCACGTCTCCTCATCAGTATGAATCGATTTTTTTTTAAATTATTTAAATCGGTTGATCGGTGTTCTC